GACATTTATAAAAAATAAGCCTATAGGATTTGTAATGGGCCTTATATTAATGAAAATAGATACAAATCTCACTGAGGTATTCAATAGATGCAAGAAGATGGGGAAGACGATGACTTAACCCCTTGACGATGATGACTCAACCTTTCAAATCATCGTTAACAGAAGGTTGAGGGATCGTTCTCATGGGGTTGTCATCGTCTCAAAGGGGTTGAGTTATCATCGTCAAAGGGTTAAGTCATCAAACCTTAAGAGGTTAAGTCATCGTCCTCATTACGTTGCCTTCGTCCTTGTTAATTTAATTCATCATACGCCAAAGAGCTAAGTCATCGTCCTCATGCGATTAAGTCACGCTTCTCAGGAGATTACGTCATCATCGTCAAGAAGTTAAGTTATCATCAAGAATTTAAGTCATCATCAAGGAGTCAAGTCATCATCAAAGAGTTAAGTCAACATCAAGGAGTTAAGTCATCATCAAAGAGTTAATTCAACATCAAGGAGTTAAGTCATCATCAAGGAGTTAAGTCATAATGAAAGAGTTAAGTCAACATCAAGAATTTAAGTAATCATCAAGGAGTTAAGTCATCATCAAGGAGTTAAGTCAACATCAAGGAGTTAAGTCATCATCAAAGAGTTAAGTCAACATCAAGAATTTAAGTCATCATCAAGGAGTTAAGTCATCATCAAGACGTAAAGTCACCATCAAGAATTTAAGTCATCATCAAGGAGCCAAGTCATCATCAAGGAGTCAATCATCATCAAAGAGTTAAGTCATCATCAAGGAGTCAAGTCATCATCAAGGAGTCAAGTCACCATCAAGAATTTAAGTCATCATCAAGGAGTCAAGTCATCATCAAAGAGTTAAGTCATCATCAAGGAGTCAAGTCATCATCAAGGAGTCTAGTCACCATCAAGAATTTAAGTCACCATCAAGGAGTCAAGTCATCATCAAAGAGTTAAGTCATCATCAAGGAGTCGAGTCATCATCAAGGAGTTAAGTCATCATCAAGGAGTTAAGTCATCATCAAAGAGTTAAGTCTTCATCAAGGAGTTAAGTCATCATCAAAGAGTTAAGTCATCATCAAGGAGTTAAGTCATCATCAAAGAGTTAAGTCATCATCAAAGAGTTAAGTCATCATCAAAGAGTTAAGTCATCATCAAAGAGTTAAGTCATCATCAAGGAGTTAAGTCATCATCAAAGAGTTAAGTCATCATCAAAGAGTTAAGTCATCATCAAGGAGTTAAGTCATCGTCAAGGAGTTAAGTGATTATCAAGGAGTTAAGTCATCATCAAAGAGTTAAGTCATCATCAAAGAGTTAAGTCATCATCAAGGAGTTAAGTCACATTCAAAGAGTTAAGTCATCATCAAGGAGTTAAGTCATCATCAAAGAGTTAAGTCATCATCAAGGAGTTAAGTCACATTCAAAGAGTTAAGTCATCATCAAGGAGTCAAGTCATCATCAAAGAGTCAAGTCATCATCAGAGAGTCAGGTCATCATCAAAGAGTCAAGTCATCATCAAAGAGTCAAGTCATCATCAAAGAGTCAAGTCATCATCAAAGAGTCAAGTCATCATCAAAGAGTTAAGTTATCATCAAGGAGTTAAGTCAACATAAAGAAGTAAAGTCATCATCAAAGAGTTAAGTCAACATCAAGGAGTTAAGTCATCATCAAAGAGTTAAGTCATCATCAAGGAGTTAAGTCATCATCAAGGAGTTAAGTCATCACCAATAGGTTATCATCATCCGGAAGAGTTTAAGTCATCGTCATCAAGGCATTAAGTAAACATTCCAAAGACACACATAGACACACAAGAGGTTGCGGGGTGAGCACTTACCATCATGGAGTTCATATGACGTAACAGCACAGCGTTGCCATAGAGGAGAGTACGATGACCGGAGCCTGTGCCCTTACCCTGGGGGGAGGGGGGAGACACAGGTGAGGTGAAATGTAACAAGTATAGGTTTACCCTAACACTCCCTCTCTCCCTCCCACCCACCTTCACCCATACACCCCCCCTAACTTCTGATACGTAACACTCCTGGATACACCCTAACACCCATATACTGTACACCCTCCCACCCAAGACTAACATCTCCCATCTACACACACACACACACACACACACACACACACACACACACACACACACACTCACTTCCCCATTGACACCCTCCCACCTACACCCATACACTCTCCTATGTAATACTTACCCTTCTGGCTACACCTCCACTCACCCATCCAAAACTAACACCCATAACCTACAACTAGACCTACATCCCCCAACACTAACTCTCCTAGCTACACACCTCCACCCATCTACAGTACCTACACACCCAACACCTCCCACCTACACTCTCCCATCCAAAACCATCCCTCCCCCACTCTCTATCACTACAACCTTATACCATATACCTTGAATACTTACCACATTGTACTAACACTTTCAAGAAAATATTTCATTGACTTTACGTTAAGAGACAATGTGGCTAGAAAGGGTCCTGGGAGGGTGCAAGATATAAAACCCATATCTCTAAACCTTAAAACGTGTCTGAATTAAAACTTTGTCTAGATGAAAATGTCACAAATGAAATAAGATTATCTGAACAATGCCATGAATGAACTTTATCTCCACAGAGTGAAGAGTCGATCAACGAGAAGACAGAAGTAGAAGAGGAAGGGAAAAAACAATTGTCTACGGAGAGTGCAACAAGTTCGAGGGTCAAAATCCACTTACGGGAAATTTATTTTGTTGGTCTACGGTGGTAGTGGTGATGTTATGGGTGGCAGTGGTGGTGGTGGTGGTAGTAGTGTTGGTGGTGGTGGTAGTAGAATTGGTGGTGTTATGAAAGTGGTGGTGGTGGTGGTGGAGGTGGTGGTGGTGGTGGTGGTGTGTAGGATGGTAGTGCATTGTGGTAGATCCTTCCTGAGTTGAGGTGTGAGGGAGAGGAAGGGACGGTCATATGAAAGAGGGCAATAATGATGCAACAGTGGGGTATGAGGGAGACCTGGTGAGCCCCTGGCATCACCCAGGTCATCGGGCATCACAATCGCAAAGCTGAGGCGTGAGTGAAGTGTGGCCAGTAGTGAGTTAGTGCTGGTGAAGGTACCCGGTAAGTTCAAGTCTTACAGGAGCTGAGAACAATCTAACAGGAAATACTTGTGAAATATATATAAGCTCAACTGAAGCTGTTACTGAAGCACCGCTGTACATGTCACGCTCTGGTCAAATATAAATGAAACCAAGGTGTAATAATACCTATTTTAAATATAAAAAGGATAAGCAGGTAAGCATAACGAAGGGAAGAAGCGAGAAAGAAAAATCATCACATTCCGGAGTGGATGTCTCAAACAAAACAAGAAAAATGTTACATAAAGAAGGGATAAGCTGGAGGCGTCATGGAACAAGCAAGGCGACGTCCCGAGGAGGGAGGAGAGTGCGGATAGCTCCTGACTGGGTGGTGGAGTGGTCCTCGGCCTGTCAGGGCCACTGGGTGATGCGCTCCCATAGCAGCACTACTGTAGGGAGTGCCGGTCATCATTTCCTTGTTACAATAATTTACATCTTAACGCTTTTCTAAAGTTATGGGGAAGCACAGAAGAAGGGTATGTTACCAGAGTTAATATTATACTGCCTGTTGTAACTACAGATGCATATGTGGTAATCTTTTTAGTAGCATAACTCTTTCTGAGTCTCCATCTCTGTTAGAATGTTCTGCTTCAGTGTTGTACTCAGTGAAGTTAAGACCCTCTACCCCGGAAGCATTGTTGTGGGTCAGCAGAGAGATTCTGTAGGTCAGTAAGTAAGTTGTCCTCGCGGTACATCTTCTGTGATACGGGCAGGGGACTCATCAAAAGGGATAGCATTACGGCGTTCCTCCACATGTTATCAGTTTATATTAAGTTCATTTAAGTCACAGAGACCGTGACTTCATAATTCACAAAAGGTGATAAAGAGGTGGTCCTTACAGTGCACTTCCAAGCATCACACAACAGTCCTCTTTAGGTAAGAAACACCGGCTCTTTACTCTAAGAGAGACAATATTTTCTTACATAAAGAAGGTAAGATACTCATCTTAATTATCTTCGCTGTCCTGTAACCACAGAGCCAATTTTACTTGGGTACATTGGCTAGTTTCTCCAGGTGAACCCGGTGATAATTAGTTGAAGTGAGGAGTATGTGGTACAGTGTCCAGCCTGACCGAGATTTAAAACCAACTTGGAGTTCTAGACTAAGACACTAATCTGTCAGTTAAACTGCTCAAAGACGATCACCTCTTAGTTTCTTTCGCCACGACTGAATATCGTCCGAGTGACTGTCACGTCAAAATATTTATTGTGTTACGTTTTAGATAAGGGAAGGGACGTGTTTCTTCATAACCAAGCATTCATCAGGGGAGAGGAAAGCTGGGTTCAAGACTACAACAGACAAGCTCAGCGTACAACAGCATTAGCCTCGCGTCTGGTGATCCACCGGTAGAGGGAGAACATTTTGATTGTGTGTGCACCCTGTGTGGTTGGCCTTCAATTTACAAGATATGGATAAAACTACATGGAGGTGTAGTCAACATTAACCACTCATAAAGTGTCAAAAGGTTCAGAAAAACACAACCCAAATCTTTCATTGTCTCAAAGCGTCATGTCACAGTATCTGCGTCCAGGTCACTTCTGGGGGCGAGGAGGAGTTGGTGTTTACATTGTTTATGCATTATTTGTTCCAAATACTCCTTGTTCGCAAATGTTATCAAACAGTTTTGAATAAAACAAATATTCCTAACTTAGTTTCCATTATTGGGAGTTGGGAGGGGAGGGGGGTGGAGGCTTGACTCTTAAGGAAAAGGACCTCCAGCAGGAGACACTGATACTGTTGATATGACCTCCTCTCAGACGACTTCGAGGCGCGACGTCTCGCTGACTGTGTCTATCACAGTGTTTGAAACAACGGACGTCAAAGCCTGGAGTCGCAGAAGAAGAAACTAAGCTTTGTATTACAGGATGGTGAAGGGTTGAGGGTCGGGCAGGCACACACCACTCAAGCCCTACCTTGCCTCGCCGCCTCTACTTCCTCCAAGACCTGGCCCGAACTCGCTCTCCTGGCCAGGGTCATAATTTACACCCTGCATCCTAGTTCTATAAGACTAGACGCTGACTACTGAGCAGGGTGATACCTCCAGGTGCTACACTCTTACAGGGAACAACGGAACACTCGTCTCTGCTACTTGTAAAGATACAGTATACTGCAGTATCTAAACTCATCCACAACCCTTTACTGTCTGACACTCTACAGAGCACCTACTTCCCCGCCCACAACCTTCTACTGTCTGACACTGTCTACAGAGCACCTACTTCCCCGTCCACAACCTTCTAATGTCTGACACTGTCTACAGAGCACCTACTTTCCAGCCCACAACCTTCTACTGTCTGACACTGTCTACAGAGCACCTACTTCCCCGTCCACAACCTTCTAATGTCTGACACTGTCTACAGAGCACCTACTTTCCAGCCCATAACCTTCTACTGTCTGACACTGTCTACAGAGCACCTACTTCCCCGCCCACAACCTTCTACTGTCTAATACTGTCTAAAGAAAGCCCACTACCTCGGTTACTACCACCTACCGTCCACAGAACACCTACTGTCGATGGTTAATTCATCCTACTGTCCACATAACATCTAACACCTACTACCTACCAGTCATATAACATCTACTTCCCTTGCTACTACCTCCTACCGTCCATAGAACTCCTACTTTCCTGACTACTACTGTCCACAGAGCACCTACTTTCCTGACTACTACTGTCGACAGAGCACCTACTTCCCTGGCTATTACCTCCTACCGTCCATAGAACACCCACTTTCCTAGCCACTACTGCCCACAGAAGACCTACTTCCCTGGCTACTACAACCTACTGTCCACATAACACCTTCTCTGGCTGTCTTGTGTGGTGAGAACACGTACCTACCCTCGTCAAATTGTCAGTATGTTATAAGCAGTGACAAGATTAGTCCTTCTACCCTCGACTTCATTAAAGCATCAAAAATACATATTTAGTGCAGCTCCATCTAAATCAAAACTATCTATATCAACCATTTTAAGAGTACATTTTATATTTATCTTCACCATCAGGGGTGAAGAGAGCTACCGTTTAGCATGTGTCTTTATCAAAGTTCTATGTCAACTGTGTTTAGTCTAAATATACTGTAATGCGCATATTCAGTACAAGAGCGCTGATCCAGGGTGAGGCTGGCGACACCCCGCAAGTCTCTACCCCAGGGGGAGCTGTGGGTGTAGGTGTTGATCCTGGGCACCTTTTCCCAACGACATCTACTCCCTAGGGGACAGGGGTGAAGCGAGGCACCCTAAATGCAGAGCAAGTGTCGCAATCTACTGCTATTATGTTTGGCTACAAGTCGGTACTGTGGATTAAGTTAATGCCGTGTATGTCGGTGAGGGAGGCGAGGCGGTGAGCGAGGCAGGGCGTCCCGCTTATGATCAGTATACTTACAACAGCCTCGTTCTCCTGAAAAATAGCAAAATGATAATGTGAGAATTTTGTGAGGCCAGCTAGGTGGGCGACCCTGAGACCTGATGTGGCGCCTTCCATTTCTGCTGTCCAGGGTCGACCAGCCTGGCCTGCTCCCGTCCTCTTACACTCATTACGAGGCCACATAAGTTTCTCCAACAGTTTAATGGTATTAGTCATTTTAGCGTAAGTTCTAAAGTGTCACAAGAATAAAGAAGTTATTTCCTGACGAGGCGACAGACGAGCCCATCTCTGGCCCGGGTCCAGCGCCCTTGGCACACTCGTACCTGTATTCACGGACAGGTTCAACAGCACGACGATACGGCGGCCTTAAGTAGAGACTGTGTTTTAACTCCTGTTTGTTGCTCTTATAAACTTGGTACTTGTGAGGTTAGTGGTTACGACTATCGCAGGATACAGTGCCCACTGACCTGACCCACCATCACATGACTCATATTCAACCCATAAGTAAACAGAGGGAACAGGTAGACAGATCACTTCTCTATATTCTGTCACTCACAAGAGATCACACTGTACACTATATTATTATCCAACCCGTGTGTAGAGGTGTACAGTAGGTAGGGGCAGAAGACCTTATACCTGACTCACATGCTCATACCACCGGGATCATACCAGCTCAGTCAAACCATCCACATCATACCGTCTACATCACACCAGTTAAGCTACACCATCTGGATCACACCAGCTGAGCTACAAAAACAATAATTATACAACATAGGAACACCACCTAGGAACACCACCTAGGAACACCACATAGGAACACCACCCAAAGAACACCACCTAGGAACACCACCTAGGAACACCACCTAGGAACACCACCCAAGAACACCAACACCACCTAGGAACACCACCAGGAACACCACCAGAACACCACCAGGAACACCACCTAGGAACAACTAGAAACAGCACCTAGGAACACCACAGGGAACACCACCAAGGAACACCACCAGGAACACTACCCTAGGAAAACCACCCAGGAACAACACCAGGAACATCTCTTAGGAACACCAGGAACACACCAGGAACACCACCTAGGAACACTGCAAGCACCAAGCACCAAGGAACGCCATCTGGGAACACCAAGGAACACCACCCAAGAACACCACTGAAGGAACACCACCAAGGAACACCATCTAGGAACACCTCCTGGGACACCACCCTAGGAACACCACCATGCAACACCACCTAGGAACACCACCGAAGGAACACCACCAAGGAAACACCATTAGGAACACCTCCTAGGAACACCACCTAGGAACACTACCCTTGGAAAACCACCCAGGAACAACACCAAGGAACACCTCTTAGGAACACCTCCTAGCAACACCACCTAGGAAAACCACCAAGGAACACCACTAGGAACACCACCACGGAACACCTCCTAGGGACACCACCAAGGAACACCACCCTAGAACACCACCTAGGAACAACTAGAAACAGCACCTAGGAACACCACCTAGGACACCAAGGAACACCACCTAGGAACACCACCAAGGAAACCACCAGGGAACACCACCAAGGAACACTACCCTAGGAAAACCAGAAACAACACCAAGGAACATCTCTTAGGACACCAACCTAGGAACACCACCTAGGAACACCACCTAGGAACACTACCCAAGGAACACCTAGGAACACCATCAAGGAACACCACCAGGAACGCTACCTAGGAACACCACCCAGGAAACACTACCCTAGGAACACTACCAAAGAACAACACCTAGGAACACAGCACCAAGGAACGCTACCTAGAACACCACCAAAACACTACCTAGGAACACCACCAAAGAACACCACCCTAGGAACACTACCAGGAACAACACCTAGGGACAGCACCAAGGAACGCCATCTGGGAACACCACCCAAGGAACACCACTGAAAGGACACCACCAAGGAGCACCATCTGGGAACACTCCCTAGGGACACCACCCTAGGAACACCACCATGCAACACCACCTAGGAACACCACCATGGAACACCACCAAGGAACACCACCTAGGAACACCACCTAGGAACACCTCCTGGGAACACCACCTAGGAACACCACCCTAGGAACGCCACTTGAACACCAGCAACACCACCTGGAAAACCACCAAGGGCACCCACCAAGGAACACCACCACGGAACCTCCTCGGGGCACCACCAAGGAACGAGGAACACCACCCAAGAACACCACAAGAACACCACCTGGGAACACCAAGGAACACCACCAAGGACACCACCAAGGAAACACCACCTAGGAACACCACTGAAAGGATCACCACCTAGGAACACCAACACGAACACCAACCTGAACACCACCTAGGAACACCACCTAGGAACACTCTCCTAGGAACTCCACCTAGGAACGCCACCAAGGCACCACCCTAGGAACACCACCAAGGAAAAGGAACAGTACCACACACACACCTGGAGCACACAGCATTACACACACACACCTGGACCACCACACACACACCCTGGGCACCACCACACACCTGGGCACCACATACCAACACACACACCTGGGCACCACAGGTGCCACCACACACACCTGGAGCAACTTACACACCTGGAGCACCACAGTACCACCACACCACACCTGGAGCACCACAGTACCACCACACGCACCTTAAGCACCACAGTACCACCACACACACCTGGAGCACCACAGTACCACCACACGCACCTGGAGCACCACAGTACCACCACACGCACCTTAAGCACCACAGTACCACCACACACACCTGGAGCACCACAGTACCACCACACGCACCTGGAGCACCACAGTACCACCACACGCACCTGGAGCACCACAGTACCACCACACACACCTGGTTCGCCAGGTAGACTAACAGGGTCCCAAGTACCAAGACTTAATAAATACTTCATAAAATAATTACTCCAATAAAAACTTACGCATTTATGCCTTTATGTTTATATGTATAAATATTTAAGTAACTTTATGCCTATTAATGGATAATTGTAATGTAACGATAATTTCTAACTATTTTCCTCGAAAATTAAAATTGATGTCTTTATATGGACGACCATGAAGATAACAGTAATACAAACTGTAAACAAAAAGCATTATTACTAACCTAAGTTACCTGACACAATTAACTTTATTTATCCAATCCTTACTTAACCTTACCTTATCTAATTAAGGTATACTGTATATTGTTTGGTTATGTTATAATGATAAACAACGTCTGAAACAGAATGTTCCCCTTATAATATTTGAATTAATTTATATTAACTTAAAGTAAAAAAATATTACTTATCCCTATTTAACCAAAACGTCAGTTGTTTTAAATCTTAATTTGTAATTTCCTCAGGATAAAATCATGTGGACCAGTACAGTAGTTCATCTCACACTAGAAAAGTCAACCACCGTCACGGACTTCCTGTGAGCACTGTCTGGCTCTAACAAGTTCCTCAGTATAGTGGTGCTCATGAGGCGCTCCTCTCCTGCAGCACCGCGCTAAACACCCCCAATTTTACACGTTTATAAGCAAAAGACTTGTTGCCTACATTTAACACGTTGGTCTGAGTGAGCAGCGCGAGGACTTCTTATTGAGAGAGTTTGGTTAACGAGAGAAAAATATATTAAATGTTGATCTCTCTCTCTTTCTCTCTCTCTCTCTCTCTCTCTCTCTCTCTCTCTCTAGAGTTGCTAATGTATAGGCCCTTGCCATTGTGCCGTCACCACCCACACTGGAGCTGTATAAGCAGGTGGTGTATTGCTCCCTCCCTCCCCCATGTTGCGGGTCTTGGCAGATGGCCAACACCAGGTGAGTCTACAGCTGGCAATGTGTGATGATGGTCACCTGCACCACCACCTGGCCTATGATGCACACTCTCTCTCTCTCTCTTCTAAAGTGTCTCCTTGTAAGTATCTGTCTCTCTCGTATCATTTCCTTTATTATTAATTTACTTCCCTCCGTCATTAATAAACTGACGCTGAAGTTTTAACACTGTAAAATACTCGACACAACCAGGTCCATCCCAGGGCATCTCAACTCCGCCCCAAATTTATCCCAGGTCCATCCTAAGTCCATCTCAGGTCCATCCCAGGTCCGTCTCTGATCAGTTCCAAGTTTGCCCCAGGTCCAATGTTTACTAGTGTGTGTGTGTGTGTGTGTGTGTGTGTGTGTGTGTGTGTGTGTGTGTGTGTGTGTGGGTAAGTTTTAATCCGTCATAACTCAGAAAAAGAGAGAAGGAGAGAGAGAGAAACATGCGCAATACCCCATCTCTTAATCTTCAGCTTTAACCACCGGAAAGTCGATTGCTACAAGCTTACAGAGCTGCGCAATCAAGCTGTGGTCAATGAATAATTCTCCTTATTTGTTTCTCAGGTTATAATCGAGTCGTTGTGCTGTTACCTCCTACGTTTTTTTTTCGCGTCTAAATCAAACTGACTCTTTTTTATTCATGTGACTGACTGACTGACTGACTCACTGACTCACTCACTCACTCACTCACTCACTGCTGGTTTGTGAAATAGTCGTTGAAGGATATATCATGATATACACATTATAATCTATTGAGAAAAATATCACACATCCAGACGTATTATATGATCGAAGGTACTACTAATAATGATAGACTGTGTTTACCCACCGGTCATACCCACACATACCATATATGGACGTATTAACTATTAAACATTTAAGAACACACAGCATCTAAAAACACACCAATCATACCCAAAGTATCCAGCCACTAAACGTCTACTTGTTTTGGTTTTTGTTTTTTTATTGTGGTATTCTGTTAGTAGTGGTAGACATGAGAGTGTGGCCTGACAATGTGACCAATACTCTCGCTAGTTACACCTAATACACTCTATATTAAACCTCCTTGGGTCTACCAGTCAACTCAGGGGCGTTTGTGACGTCGTTGGTTTGACGTCACACACCACACACAAGTATATACCCCACTGTGGTCTGGATATATACGAGACAGTTGGGTTTTGATGACAAGCCAGTGGGGTTATGGTTATAGTATTACCCTAACTCACATCGGATATCAATCGTTAATGAGGCAATCCAACCCAGGACGATAACCACTCCGCCACTATACCCAGAGAATGGAGGAGTTGAACTCGTATTCAGAGTGACTACTACAGCCAACTATGCTCATGGAATGGTCAAGGTACATTCTTATAGCATTATTTGATCGTGACAAAGTGCAGTGTTGGCGCTTTTCTCTCCAGTGAACTACCTGGCGTGTATCTCCCGACATGTTTTTGTGCTGAGGAAAGTACTCGATCAACGCTACTGTTACACTTGTCCTGGGGAGAGGAAACAAGTCGAGTGTATTAGTTCTATTTAATTGGGTTATTTTAGTGTACATTTTAATGGCATTTTCATAATAAGAGAAAATTATTACGAGCGTTTTAAACCAACAGATTAGGCAAAAGAGATAAAGTTACATTAGAAATAAAAGTGAGATAAAGAAGAAACATAATGACACAGGTACAGTACAGTGAAGGAGGAATGTCGCTGCACCTCTCATTAACTGCTCTTCACACTTAATTACAGGAGAAGATTGAGCAAAAAATCTCCTTTCCTAAACTTCGTTGTATTTTACTTCAGAGTGAGAAATATTAAACTTTAGTAGAACAGAAATTAGTATAGAAAATAAGCAAACACTTTCATCACGGAGTTCCAACTTGTGACTAAAGGTCCCACTTGGTCAGTGGGCCCAAGTGTAACCCCCAAGCAATGAGGCTGCTAGCTGGCTGGCTGGGTGGTTGGCTGGATGGCTGGATGGCTGGCGTCTTGTAACCTTACAGCTAACACATCACTGACACTAGTCTTGATCACTGAACAAGCTAAGATGTGGCGAAGGCGCAGAGGGAGGCTAATGCCACCTTACCTCCTCACTAGTTGCAGCGGTGACCAGCTCCTGCAGGGCACGCACCGACAGGGCCTGCTCGATGACGAACACGCATTGACACAGGTCCGGAGGGTTGTTCTGTGAAGGTAAACAAAACAAATTATATTACCATTGCAACACCATTATTTTGCTAAGAGCATGCTGACTTCCACACACACAGTAGTGGGACAAAAGTGTTACACAATGGAAGGAAGCATAGAATTTGGGACACATAATCCTTAAGATTTAGAAGGAGTGCCACGTAATCGGGCACCAGAATGACCTAGAAAAACTGGGTCAAGGTCATGAGCATCAAACACGGCTAAATTTTTAAATGTTTATTCTTTTAGATAACAAAAGCATCACCTTTGGTACCATAACTACTTTTAGCACAGTTTGTATTTAGCAGAGTCCCCGTTACACTTGGAGAAGGAATGGCCACCATTTGTTTGGTCGTCATGATTAGAGAGTATTCTTATAAGTAGTGATGAAATCCTAAATTACATTTGTTTACAAAGGCCAGTGATTTTTTTTTTTTTATTACTTCATGCCGTCACACTGTACATTTAAAACACGATATTTCTGTATATCCAAAAAAATATAGATGAAGTTACTCGTTACTAAATTAGCGGTAATTTCCACAACACTGAACACTGATTTGGTTCTTCATCTCCCACCTGGATATATTTGCGGTATGTTTTAGTGCAGTTATAATAATAAAATAAAATAATATTGTATTAAAAAACTAACAAAACAGAATTAATTAATTTTGCATGAAGAACAGTAAAAATATCGACCCAACAATTATTTTACATAACGTGTAATGATGATAATTGAGAAAATAGCATAGAGCAATAGTATCTAAGAAACACTCGAATAAATAACGGGTCTTTAAAAAACTATGGAACACTGGAGAGATTGTGTACATATTTTTCTGCGGTTAAAGTAATGATGTACAGTCAACAACAAAAGTTTCTGCGCCCTGTATGGATCTGACGGCCTTCATAACGATCACTGACTGAGGACATGTTCATTTGGTAAGGTTGGTACTTCTGATTGTGTGATGCATAGTGTAACTAATGCCATGTATTCTGTATATCACGTATAATTATTACGGGGAAATTAATATGCATACATATAAAACCCGTGTTATTCAGAATTCTTGGTCCGGTGTCATATTGTATAACACCGTAAGGGTACAGATTTTTGTTTTGTTTGATGAATGTACACTCAAAGACAAAAGTCGTGTCGCGATTTTGTCCGAAGATTAAATATAACTCGTGAAACATTATGAGAGCCCTACCACAAGGCAGAGCGCACCAAAAGTTTACCCCTTCGGTATATGTTTTCACCAAATTTCACGACACGACTTTTGTCTTTCATTGTACATGCAATAACCATTTCTATTTTACATGACTCCTCCACATATGCACATTGTTGTACACCGAATGGCTGGGCTTTGCAGCTACATTTGATGAATTCCCTACAGGACTTCGCTGCCTCTGGTAAGTGTCCAGACAGGGTCCCAAGAATCACCGTCCTTTCTCCAACCATAATCTTCGGACTTGGTACTGAGCCCGGTTGTAGTGTTATAGTCATGTAGCTTGGGTAGGTGGCAGGTTTCCCCTTAATTGAGTTGAATTTGAGATGAAATCCTGCCTTAGTTCATTCACGCTGTTCTAAATTTTCGGACTTGTCATAAAGAACACATAAGAATCTTGCCAGTGTTGCAAACGTGGGTGTTTGCAGCTCTGGGATCTGAAATGGACTTTTGGTCATGAAATGGAATGCCTCGGTAGCACCTTGGCATAAATTCTATACTTCCCAGGCCCTATTTTTACCCTTTCCATGAAATTGCGTCGTTGTATCAGAACCAGTCAATGAGTGAAATACTGGCAGAGTTCGACATTTTGCTTCTCCAAGGTTGTTGCATATTGTGTTGATGCTGAAGTACCAGAAATTGTTGCCAGTACCAATTGCAACCCAAACGTTCAAATGCGGGTACACTAGCTTGAAGCTGAAGAAATTGCCAATCAGGGTGACGATGAAATCAGTGTCAACAGTGAGCACAAGAACCTTTACTCAGGGCATCGTGAACGTGAAGGCATATCCTCGAGTCAGCTCCGTCACGATTACACAATCCCATAGGCTGCCGGGTCCAATGGACACTACTGATTCTCCCTTGGTGACATAGACCTCTTTTCCAAGTACATATTTAAGCAGAGAAATCTTTACTGTCAAAGAAGGATTTTCGAATCCCGTGCGAAATCTGTAAACCTGGCTTTGCTGAAAGGCAGCTTAAATGGACGTCGAACCTTATTTCTAACACCTATACCTCGTCTTTCTCTTGTAGATTTCTTAAGGCTGTCGTTCTTATATCAGCCGGTTTGGCTGGCCCCCAAAATTCATCGCCATTGTGAGGCAACTACACGACGGCATGAACGACAGTGTCCTGCACAATGGCACCCAGTCTGAGTTCATCCTCATCCAAACGGGGGTAAAACAAGGATGTGTACTGGCGCCAACTCTCTTTTCCATTTTCTTTGCTGTCTTTCTTACTCGTGCTAGTGCCAATTTAGTCGGCGGGGTGGACATAGAGTACCGGCTGAAGGATCTTTTCAAAATAAGACGACGCCAGGCAGGAACGAAGGTGTCGGCAGCTTCCATTACTGAACTTCAGTATACAGACGACCTCACCCTTGTCGTTTACACTGAACGCGACCAACAGGAGATCCTGAACACCTGTGCAGATGCGTATGCACACTTCGGCCTTCAGGTGAATGTGCGTAAGACTTAGATTCTCTTTCAGCCTGCCACTGGTTCAGCCACACCTCCATCGTCCACCCAGCTTAATGGTACTACCCTCTCTAATGTTACCAACTTTCAGTATCTCGGCTCCCACCTGTCCACTACCGAGGACATCGATGAAGAGATTCAACATCGGATCAGATGTGCCTCTCAAGCCTTTGGCAGACTCCGTACCCATGTCTTCAGCTGAAGGGAGCTGGAATTATGTACAAAGCTGCACGTACAGTATATCAAGCAGTGGTCCTCCCCACCCTGCTATATGGCAGTGAGACATGGGTTACATACAGGAGGCACTTCAAGGCACTTGAAAACTTTCACCAACGTAGTCTACGTTCCAGCCTCCGAGTTCGCTTGGAAGACAAGAGAATAAATGCCAGTATTCTCGCTGACTCCAACTGCAGTTGTTCATGGATAATGATAGCCTCTATCTTTATCCATGAACAACTACGCTGGACTGGCCATGTTACTCACATGGACGACGATAGACTGCCAAAGCAGCTACTTTACAGTCATCTAACGAATAGTGAACGTAACCCTGGTGGGCAATAGAAAAGGTATAAGGATAGTCTTAAGACAAACCTGAAAAAGTGCCAAATCGACCCCCTCACCTGGGAGACGATCATTCCACACCGTAATGCTTGGATGATCACCACACAAGAAGGTGTCAAAGACTTTCGAATTAGCCCGACTGCAAACTGAAGCAGATAAGAGCCAACGCCGGAAAGATGCTGCCATCGTTCCTCCCACACTACATGGAACCATCCACAGGTGCAACATCTGCGAACGACTCTGTTGGTCCCGTATCGGTCTCTTTAGTCACCTTAAAACTCACCAATGAAGGTGACATACTTAATAACTCATCATTTTTTCATAGCTGGATGATCGTCATACTCAATTCCGAGTGACAGCAACGGAGTGGCCTTTGCAAAAATATAGTTTAGCATTTCATCACTACCCTCTAATCGTGACCTTGACCTAAGACATGATGGTCATTCCTTCCCCGAGTGTCATGGTAACTCTGCTAAATATTGTATAATATGGACACGAAGTAGTACCTTAAGCTGTGTATTCATATATTACTCTATTAATTATGTATAGTAAAGTATTACAGAACATGTATTAATCCTATGTGATATTTCCATTTATTATGCACCATGTTATGTATATGAATTATCAAATTTACATTTTATGTATTCAGCTTGTGAATGCTGGCATCTGTACATGCCAGCACGCAGGGATACAAAGAGTGCAGACCACCAGTCCTTATGGTGTGGAAGTGCTCTGTCTTATTAGTTCCCCTGTACATCTCCCGTACGAGAATAAGAACCTATTTTTAAGATAACAAGTGTTTGTGTATACCCTCAGTAGTGTAGAACATTTTGGGGGTACCAAAGACAAACATAGATGGCGCAGTGAAATTTCTCAGTGAGATACAGGGTGGACCAGCCTTCCCGCCGGACTGTGTTAATGGCGTCTCTTCTTCAGCTTCAAGGATTTACAGCTAGACTACAAGCCTCTGGACTTACAGTGTTGTGAAGTGCTATGCTGTGTACATTGCTGTGCTGTGAAGTGAAGTGTTTTGTGAAGTGCTGTGTTGTGTATTTTAATCAGAATTGTCTGTGCAAACTGCAGCGAGATGACTAAGGGAGCTTGCCCAGCAGTACGTCCGCTCCCGTCGCCGGTCATAGGGTAACTGACCAGGGAATGAACTCTGCCCAGCTGCTCCTACGTCTGGCTGCGCGCGCCAAGCCTCACACACACACGCACTCACAGACCCACCTTATATTAAATTCTTGAGAATAATTTAGACTTCTGTAATTCTGTGCATAGATTACGAGGGGTTGACCCGGTCTTTGCACAGATAGAGTACAGAAGCTGTCAGCATGTCTCACAGGGATCAAAATGATACCCTGGACGATGGGATTACAAGTTTAAGTCTGGGAGACCTCTCCCCACCCACACTCAGGCCCCACGCTCCCCACAGTGACAACGCCCAATCACCCACAGAATCTCCTCGTTCGTTGCGAGCAAGCTCTCCTGCGGTGCCTGCGTCCACAGATCTCCTTCAACTGATTAAGTGGATGGAAACTTCTCGACGCCAGGACTATGTTGCAAGGAGAGAAGAGGAAGAAATTCGGTACAGAAAGTCTGAAAGACAACGCCACGAAGATGAACAAAGTCGCAGAGAACTAGAAGATATACGTAGAAGTGAGGATGACCTGAGAAGAAGAGAGGATCAAGCCAGATTTGAAGTCTTGATTTCCCTGTTAGCCTCCCCACAACGATCTACT